TTTCTTGCTATCCGTACCGCCAGACGGCAACGTAGACTACGACGTTTTCATGAAAGGCAGAATCTATTAGAATATACACACGATGATGCAATTTACGAGAGGTTGTGCCTAGCTGTGACAAAAAGAGCGGCAAAAAGGTGGTGGAGATCCTTCTTTACGACGTCCTCAAAGCAGACGTTCTTATGCATTTTCAGCCACCAAAAATTGGAGAGTTAGTGCTTTCGTGACACTTTTACGCAAGAGTTCCACTTCCGGCAGACGGTTTCGAGACTACGGTGAGTAACGAGAAAACTAACGACCGAACTTTACGACTGAACTTAGCGATGAGTTAACGACTGCTTCGTGAAACACCCCTCGAAAATCGCTAAGTTTGCTCGTTAGCGAGGTAGTTCAGTAGTTAGTTGTTCTAACTAACTACTGCTTTGTGAAACCGGCCCCAGGTCAGCATGAAGTGGCATCATATATGGCGGCTTCCATGCATCGTCGATGCACTGTATCGGTCGTTTTGTCATCTTTAGATTAAAGTTTCTTGCAATTAACGGAAATAACTGTAGTAGGGGGAATCAAATAAAGGTGGAGGGCAGGTACGTAACCGCTAACCCTTCCCAAGTGAATTTCTGAAAAGATTAGGTGAAAATGTTGTATTGGAATGCAAAACGGAGGGGGGGGGGGGGGAACGTTACACTATCCTTTCTTTAGACGCAATTCCCAGATATATTTATTAGATTGGTATTTGTAAAGTAAAATCCAAGTTAAAGAAAGAGAGAATTTTCATTAACATTTTGTTTCTTTACACAAAGGTCCGTTTCGTCAATTACATAAAAGGATCGAAATCTCAGTTGTGAAATTCCCGTAACCTTTTTATATGATTACAAAACCTATGAATGTGCGCTGTAAGCAAAGACCTTTAATAAGAACTCGAAATATCGAAAGGAGAAAAGAGGAGCAGAATCACGTGTTGAACATTTGTGCCAAGTTAGACATTAGTACTACAAAATGCAGCGTTTGGCCAATTTTTGGTCCTTAACAAGCCTACCAGCAATTCATTTAATGGGCATGTGCACATACGATTTATGCAGACAGGAAAACACACACACACACACACACACACACCCCCAAAAAAAAAAAAAAACGTCACAGATCGCCTAGACCGACCCCTCCTAATAGGTAAAAGTAACAATGTTATGAATAAACTTAAGGCCATGATACGAATTCGCTGAATAATTCATAATGAACTATTTAAGGCATTTATAAACAGCCCGCGTTGCATTCACGTAAGATTAGATGTTGATATGAAGATTTATTGGTTTGCACACTTGTACACCCTTGGGCCAGATATTTCAGTAGCATCATTAAATAATGTCGTTGATTTAATTGTTGTGCCATAAAAAACATTGAGCGTGCAATCACAACACAAACATACCGTGCTTTATGTGACACAGCCATTGCCAAGGGATATAGACTATGCTCTCTCTTTCAAGTTGATAATGTTCCAGGTTTTGTTTTTCTCTTTCTGAAAATGTGAGATCTGTTTCAATTTTGTTTCTGTGAATCATTGCTACTTCTTAAATTTCAATATCTGAACCTGGCTCAGTACAGAGTACACTGTAAAAATAGAAAAATCCATGTTAATACATATAGTTACCGAAACAATTAAACCCTTGTATTGATAATTTAAAATAAAATTTCAAATCAGTTTTCATTACTTTGTTGCTTTTGAGATAAGTGAAGAACAAAAACCAAAGTAATCACTATTTGAACAAGAAAGGAAGAAATAGCGCCCATTTCCAAGTTTACGTTTATCTTCATGTATAAGGTATATAGACTCCTCACTTTAAAAGTAATTATGACGTTGGTTAAATAAGAAATAATTGAAATTCTGTCAAAGGCATTTACTAAAATATTGTAGCGTTCTCTCCCTTTCATACGAATCCGACTCTCTGCACTTATGGGAAGCAACGGGCACGGTGTCTTAACTCGGCCCTCAAGAAAAGCTGGATCACCACGGTCTAGGCTCGGCTGTCTCGGCTGCATCGATTGGACACCCGGCTGGTCGGCTGTCTCCTTTGTCTCGGCTGTCTCGGCTGTCTCCCAGGCTGGGCGGTCGTCTCGGCTGGAGACCCGCCTGGAAAGCAAAATCCCTCTATTGCAGTGACCGCATATACCTCGGTTAAAAGCCTCATTGGCGTGTTACCATGTACACCATGCAGAGAATCCTCCAGTAACTACAATGCTTCGCTGCTAAGAGGCTTAGTAAGGGTGACGCTGGTAGCATCTGAGTGCTGCATTCTGCTTTTGCACCCCCTTTTATACGGGTGTGTGCCATGTTCGATTTTGAGTAAAATTAAGGCATTCTTCAGTTCGCAAGTTACTAAAATTCAGCCGGCCAGCAAATGGTGTTCTTATCAGCACGATTGTCAGCACGATATAACTGAAAGATTATTTAAATCAATTAAAATAACTGTTAATTGTCCTCCAAGTAAAGTTAATTACTCATTTTAGTTACATTACGTAACTTCATGTAATCGAGTGGTATAGGCGGCCAATTTTTTTCCATTTTAACAAATCTCAGCAGGCACTGGGTCTAAAAGTACGTCAATCGTTACAATACCATCCATATTTACTTTACTCATTGAAATGCATCATACTACAGTATATTGAAGGATAGGTTATAAAACTCATAAAATCTTAGAAACCTCAGGGATATATGTCTATCAACTAATATCCTCCCATTGATTTTCCATAAAATGTATAATGAGCCTTGATCCCATGTAATAGGCGTCTTCACAGATGAGAGGTCAAAATGTTGTAAGAATAGACAACATTCAGCAGACAAAGTACAAATCCTAATCTGGCCAACAATGAACCTGGCGGACAGTTAAGACGTGGCCAGATTTCTGAACAGTCTGTAAGAATATATATAAACCTTCCGTCAGTTTAACGCGTTTACAGTCACGTAAGAGACAGCTACAATGATGTTACGTGTGTTTCTGTATTTGAGTTCTGTTGGACTTGTCTTTTCGTCTCCATCTTTAGGTTCACTCCACTGTTATGACTGCAACTTTAAAACTTTCACAGACGGTAAGTGATCGTTTACTTCTTTTATATTTTTAATGAAGAAGCACGTGTCATCTCGTAAATGAGCAAACATGTGCACTGGCTTGGTAGTTGGATAATAAATGACAATTATCAAACACAAGCTGAAAGACTCATAACGTTTGCTTACGGCCAACCCGGGCGCCGCATTTCGAAAGCATCGCGAATAGTGACCGAACGCAAGCGTCTGTATTCCATAACTCGGGATTTACTCGCCCCATTTAATAGCCTCGAAATAAAAGGTGACATCGCCATTCGCAATTCGTGATGCTTTCGAGTTACGGAGCCCTGGACGTAGTCCTTCTTCAGACTGATGTCCAGATTGACCGCAAGGTAATTGTATGGAATTTTTCGGCTTGTGTTAGATAATTTTTATTATTGAAATAACATCTCATTTTATCCATTTGTTCATTTTTCATTCCTTTGACTTTTCGCATTAATTCCAATGTATTACTACAAAATATACCTTATATTTGGTTTCCGCCTATAGGCGATGTGTATTTATTCATTAATAATCATTTGATATTGGGAAATTTATATCGGCAAATGATATATATAAACTCGCACACACAAGTCGCTTTGTGGTATTACATTATTACTCAAACGCTATAAATATATATATATATATATTCTCTTTGTTTTGTTGAAAGGTTATGGACTCAAGGCCACTCACCAAGCCTGCGTTGAACCAGAAAAAGATGGCCACCTCCTGGCAAAAGTAAAGTGTGACACTGCTTGTTTTAACAGACTTGACGAGAACGGCTGTAAGTATAGGGATCTTTGCATCAATCATTTAGATAAAATAACGAAACTTTAACAGTTTGACTAAACCAAGGTTATGAAAAGGTAAAAGCAAGCCCTACCCGTATATGTTTCGTCTTTATGCATGTGTAAAAGAGAGAGATGCCTATCATATGAAGATTTGACCACATCCTCCAATATTTCAGTCGTCTACAGAGGCTGTTACGCCGGGAACTTTGGCGTGGACTCCAGCCAAGACGGTTGCAGTTTTCAAGCTGGGGCCACGTGGTGTTTTTGCCGTGTGTATCTCTGCAACACAGGAATGAATTTCACACTGTTGCCGTGACTGTGCCGTAACCGTGGATATAAAACAGATACAATTTGTTTTGAGATTTTAAAGATTGTGTATTTGAATACATTCCGTAAACTTGTAAACCTGAAAACTGGTGAAAATTGATGAAAACTGGTGAAAACTTTGATAACCTAGAAAACTGATGGAAAAGTAAAACAATATGGGCCAGGGAGACCGTCACACTGAACTAAATAAATGCACCGTAACAGGGCGGAAGTTCAAATATACATTGATAGGGCAAGTCATTTGACACATATCTACACATCTCCTTGGACAATTTACTCTGACCTAGCAGTTGCACGTGTACACACCCAGCCTGTTACCCAAATAAATACAAGTACAAATATGTATATGTACACGTGAGTTACTGTAGTACATACTGTGTATTCCAAGGGTTATCAAAGTTCTTGGTTGCAAAATGGATTATCTAAATATTAACACTGATTGCATAAAAAAAATTAAAGCCATGAACTAGACGTAGGCCAACTGGAAAAATGTTTATTACCAACACGAATATATACAATATACATAATATACAGTATGTGAGATGATATTGTATGTTACCTGTTAACGACAAGAACATTTTGAGCAAATTTTGATGTAAATAAAATNTTTAATGCTTGAATTAAAAATGTGATTTTGTAAGATTATACAAATTATTAACAATTGTTCAAGCGGGAGGTTGCCACGTGACCTCTCCCAGGGGATTCCCTTGGTAAGATCATTATTCATAATCTCCAACAAGATCAAATCTGGGACAGAAAAGTGAGTCGAAGCTGGCTGTATTTGTACTTTTTTGTTTGGAATGTCACCAAACGTACATTTTACACGTGATCACTGACCTTTCAGCACTGTCAATTTATCTCAACTAAAGGTCAAAAATCAAATGAAGTTGCTCAGAGAGAAAAGCAAGTTCCGAAAATACAAAATAATTTTAAAACAGAATTGGATTAATGAAATTGCAAAAAAATCAAATAATAATACAACAATATTGCATCTTTGGGAGAAATACTCTTACGGTTTTACAGTTTTAATTCATGGTTAAAATTGCTTTTTGTTATAGAGATAGCTAAAATCTGACACAGCAGTATAAGTGGAAATTACAGTCAGCTCTTTAACAGATGTTTTGCATTTACCTTTTTCATTTGAGCAATGTATTTGATGGACATGTGCACATACGAATTATGCAGACAGGAAAAAAACAAACAAAAAACGTCACTGATTGCTTAGATCGACCACTCCTAATAGATAAAAATAACAATGTTGTGAATACACTTTAGGCCATTATACGAATTTGTTGGATAATTCATAATGAAGTCTTCACACCGCGAGTTAGAATTAAAAAAGCAGCCTGACGGTTTAAGACATTTATAAACAAGCCGCGTTGCCTTTACGTAAGATTAGATGTTGATACGAAGATTTACTGGTTTGCACATTTGTACACCCTTGGGCCAGATACGTCAGTAGCATCATAAAATAATGTGTTGCGCCGTAAAAACATTGAGCGTGCAATCACAACACAAACATTACGTCCTGTATGTGACACATTGCCAGGGGATATAGACCATGCTCTTTCTTTCCATTCGATTATGTTCCATGTTTTATTTTTCTCTTTCGTGAAATTTGACATCAATTTTGTTTCTGTGAATCATTGCTACTTCTTAAATTTCAATATCTGAACCTTGCCCGATGTAGAGTACACATGTAGTTTTTGACACAATATAACCTTTATATTTATAATATATTAAATAAAATTTCAAATGATCATTAATTACTTTGTTGCCCTTTGAGATAATTGATGAACGAGATCCAAAGTAATCAGTAAATAAAAAGGAAAGGAAGGAAAAACACCCATTCCTACATGTACTTTTACGTCTTCACAGATGAGAGGTCAAATGTTGTAAGTATAAACAACATCCACCATCCACATTGGTTTTGATAAGAAATAATTAAAATTCTGCCAAAGGCATTTATTAAAATACCATCCATATTTATTTTACTGAATTAAATTCATCATACTACAGTATATTGAAGGATAGGTTATAAATCTCGTAAAATCTTGTAAACCTCAGAGATATACAACTACTAGTATAAACTAATATCCTACCACTGATTTTACATAAAGTGTATAATGACCCCAGATCTTATGTAATAGGAGTCTTTACAGATGAGAGGTCAAAATGTTGTAAGTATAAACAACATCCACAAAACAAAGTACAAATCCTGATCTGGAAGACAGGTAAGACGTGGTCAGATTTTTTAACAGTTCGTAAGACTATATAAAACCCTTCCATCAGTTAAAAATACGTTAATACTCACGTAAGACACAGCCACAATGATGTTACGCGTGTTTTTATATTTGAGTTCTGTTGGATTTGTCTTTTCGTCTCAAGGTCACAGTCCACTCCACTGTTATGACTGCAACTTAAAAACTTTCGGATACGGTACGTGACCGTATGCTTCGTTTATAAGCAAATAACATATAAATTAACAAAAAGGTACATTAGCTTGGTAGTTGGATCATAAATGAAAATTATCAAATACAAGTCGAAAAAATTGAGAACGGTTTGCTTACGGCCAACCTGGACGTAGGCCTTCATCAGTTTGATGTCCAGGTTGGTCGTAAGGCAACGGTATGACTTTTTTCTGTTTGATAATTTCATTTATGAAATAAAATCTCACTTCATCCAGTCATTATTTTTTCCTTTTCTTTAAGTTGATGCGTAAATCCCATTGTATTAATACAGCAAACATTATATTTGCTTTCCGTGTTTTTATTCATTAATAATGATTTGGGTGTTGCTAAGCTAATATCCTCCCATTGATTTAACATTAAATGTATTATGAGCCTTGATCCCCTGTAATAGGCGTCTTCACAGATAAGAGGTCAAAATGTCGTAAGTATAAACAACATCCACCAACAGATAAGAGGTCGAAATGTTGTAAGAATAAACAACATCTACCAGACAAATACAAATCCTGATCTGGCTCACAATTAACCTGGTAGACAGTTAAGACGTGGTCAGATTTTTGAACAGTTGTTAAGACTATATAAAGCCTTGCATTAGTTAAAGACTTTAACACTCACTTAAGTGACAGCTACGATGATGTTAGGATTGTCTCTATATTTGAGTTTTGTTGGACTTGTCTCTTCGTCTGGAGGTTTCAGTCCACTCCACTGTTATGACTGCAACTTTAAAACTTTTACATACGGTATGTGATCGTTTTCTTCTATTATATTCTTAATGAAGAAGCATGCGTCATCTCGTAAATGAGCAAAAATGTGCATTGGTTTGTTAGTTGGATCATAAATAAAATTATTAAACACCAGCCAAAAAACTTTCATACCGTTTGCTTACAGCCAACCTGGACGTAGTCCTTCATCAGACTGATGTCCAGGTTGGCCGTAAGGTAACGGTATGGAAGTGTTTGGATTTTGTTAGGTAATTTTTATTTGTGAAATAACATGTCATTTTATCCAGTCGTTTATATTTTATTTCTTTTTTTACATTAATTCCATTGCATTACTACAACATACATTGAATTTGGTTACCTGCTGTATTTATTCTTTCATAATCATTTGGTTTTGGTGAATTGACAACGGTAAATGATATATACACACGTGCACACACGTCGCCTTGTAGTATTACATTATTACTCTAATGCTAAGAATATTCTCACCCTTTCTTTGAAAGGTAATGGACTAAAAGCCACTCACCAAGCCTGCGTTGATCCAGAAAAATATGGTCACCTCCTGGCAAAAGTACCGTGTGACACTGCGTGTTTTAACAGACTTGACGAGAATGGCTGTAAGTATAGGGATATCTGCATCAATCATTAAGATGAAATAACGTAACCTTAACAGTTTGTCTAAATCAGTTTTATGATAAGCAAGCCCTACTCGTATACATATTTAGTCTTTGTGCATGTGTAGAAGGGAGAGATGCCTATCATATAAAGCTTTGACCATATCCTCAAAATTTTCAGTCGTCTACAGAGGCTGTTACACCGGGAACTTCGGTGTGGACTCCAGTCAAGACGGTTGCAGTTTTCAAGTTGGAGCCACGTGGTGTTTTTGCCGTATGTATCTCTGCAATACTGCACTGAATTTTACATTGCTGCCTTGACCGTACCGTAACCGTGGATTTCAAAGAGATGAAACGTTTTTGAAATTTTCAGGATGTTGTATTTGAATAAATTCCGCAATCTTGTAAACTTATAAACTTGAAAACTGAAGAAAACTGTTGGAAACTCAAGAAAACAAAACAGTACACTGTCTGGGAGACCATAACGCATGCAAAAAAGCTGTTTAATACTAACACGGATATTTATATGAGAGACAAAATCTCAAGATGTATATCAACGAATTACTTTCTCAATTCAAAATTTACGCTTTTGCTTGCATATGTATGATTTCCAAAAGTTTATGAAATAAATGACACAACAAAAATGACACGTTTTGTTTTATTTTTAAAATACTTAGTTAAATGTGATAGCTGAGAACAAAAATATACACAACGTCAATGAACCTCATGTACACAAACCCCCTCACGACTGAAATTATAATATTGTGGCAAAGAATAACCCAAATTTTTCTTTCGGTGCATTAAACTCTCCTATGAAATAAGCCCTTTTGTAAAAGGAAAAAAGAGGTTTATGACTTAGGTGAAATTAAAATCGACATCTCTCATGTCTGGATGTGAATATCGAGAGTGGATTAATAATAATAATTATAATAATAATGATGGTCATAATGATGATGATAACCTTTCTTTAGGCGCAATTCCAGATATATTTGATAGAATAGTCTTTGTAAAGTAAAATCAAAGTTAAAAAAGAGCGAATTTTCATTAACATTTTTATTTCTTTACACAAAGGTCATAAATTCATAGTTTCATAAATTACAATAAAGATTCGAAAACCTAGGGTCAATAAAAGTTGTAAAATTCTCTCTACTTGCTTACATGATTACTAAACCTATGTACGTGGGCTGTAAACATAGACCTTTAATAAGAATTTGAAACATCGAAAGGAGAAGAGAGAGGCAGTATTACGTGTTTGCCCCCCCCCC